AGACTTCCAGTACTGTGTTGAATAAAATTAGCAAGAGTGGGCATCCTTATCTTCCTCATCTTTGAGGAACCGCTTTCAGCTTTTAACCCTTCAATATGATGTTACCCGTGGGCCAATTATATGGCCTTTATCATGTTGAGTTATGTTCCCTGTATACCTGCTTGTTGAGAGGTTTTTTATAATCATGAATGGATTTCGAATTTTGTGAAATGCTTGTTCTGCATGTATTGAGATGATCATATGATTTTTATCCTTCATTTTGTTACGGGTGAATCATATTGATTTACTTGCAGATGTTGAACCATCCATTCATCCCTGGAATCACTTCCACATGGTATATGATCCTTTTAATGTGTTGTCGAATTCAGTTTGGTAATATTTTGTTGAGAATTTTTGTATCTATGTTCATCAAGGATATTAGCCTGTAATTTTCTTTTCTTGGAGTGTACTTGTCTGATTATACCAGGGTAATGCTGGCCTCATAAAGGGAGTTTGGGAGAGTTCCTTTTTTCTGCGTTTCAGACTAGGTTGAAAAGGTGTTTAGTGTTATTTCTTCTTTAGTATTTGGTAGAATTCACCAAGGAAGCTATCTGTTTCTATAATTTTGTTTTTTGGGAGGTTTTGATAAGTGATTCAATCTCCTTACTAGTAATTGGTCTGTTCAGATTTTCTATTTCTTCATGATTCAGCCATGACAGGTTGTATATTCCTTGGGATTCATTTATTTCTTCTAGATTGTCCAATTTGTTGGTGTATGATGTTCATCATAATCTCACGATCCTTTGTCTTTCTGTGGTATCAGTTGTAATGTCTCCTCTTTGATGTCTAATTTTTTTCAGTTCTTTTTTTCTTGGTGAGTCTTGCTAAAGGTTTCTCTGTTTATATATTTTTTTAAATATCAGCTCTTAGTTTCATTGATCTTTTCTATTATCTTTTTAGCCTCTATTTCATTTATCTCTGCTCTGATCTTTGTTATTGCCCTCCTTGTACTAATTTTGGTCCTAGTTTGTTCTTTTTTCTCTGTTCCTTGAAGTGTAAAGTTAGGTTGTTTACTTGAGAACTTGCCTATTTCCTGATAACAGGCACTTATTGCTATGAATTCCCCTCCAGAACTGCTTTTGCAGCATTCTGTAAGTTTTGGTGTATTGTATTTCTATTTTTTATTTGTCTCAAGATATTTTTTCATTTCTCTTTTGAGTTCTTCTTTGACCCATTGGTTGCTCAGTAGCATGTTGTTTACTCTCCACATATTTGTGAATTTTCTTGTTTCCTTACTATAACTGATTCTAGTTTCATACCATTGTGCACAGAAAAGATGCTTGATATGATTTCAGTTTTCATAATTTTGTTAATAGTTATTTTGTGGCCTAACATATGATCTATTCTGGAGAATATTCCATGTATACCTGAGCAGAGTGTGTATTCTGCTGATTTTCGGTGGAGTGTTCTGTAAATGTCTGTTAAGTCCATCTGGTCTAACATGTCACTTAAGTCCATTGCTTCATTGTATTGCTGTCTTTTTCTCCCTTTACGTCTACTAATATTTGTTTTATATATTTAGGTGCATCTGTGTTGGATACATAAATATTTATAAATATTATATCATCTTGTTGGATTAACCCCTTTATCATTATATAATGCCCTTCTTTGTCTCTTGTTAGAGCCTTGTCTTAAAGTCTATTTTGTCTTGTATAACTTTCCAAGCTTTCTTTGGTTCCATTTACATGGAATATCTTTCCATCCCTTCACTTTTAGTCTATGTGTTATTACATCTGAAGTGAATCTCTTGTAGACAACATAGTTTGGCCTTAGATAAGCCCTTTCTTATCCATTCAGTCACTCTTTGTTTTTTGATTGGAAAATTTAGTTCATTTACATTTAAAGTTATTGTTGATAGGTATGGACTTACTGCCATTTTGTTCATTGATTTCTAGCTATTTTGTAATTCTTCTATTTCTTTCTTCTTCTCTTGCTTCCTTTGTGATTTGATGATTTTTGGTAATGCTGTGCTTAGACTCCTTTTTCTTTATCTTTTCTGTGTCTGTTATGGGTTTTTGCTCTGTGATCACCATGAGGATTATATTTAAATGTAACAGTCTATTTTAAGCTGATAACAGCTTGTTTGAATGCATTTTAAAGCTTTACATTTTTACTCTTCCCACCACACATTTTAAAAGGTGTCACAATTTACATTTTTTTATCTTGTGTATCCATTAACACATTATGGTAGTTATAGTTTTTTTTACTACTAAAATATAGTGTATTTTACTACTTTTACTATAGTTACTTTACTCTGTCTTTTAATCTTCATGCTATATCTATAAGTGATTGACCCACCACCATGACAACATTAGATTATTCTGAATTTAATTTTACATTTACTTTTGCCAGTGAGATTTATATTTTCATATTTTTTCCTGTTACCAATTAGCACCCTTTTGTTTCACCTTAAGGAACTCCCTTTAACATTTGTTGTAAGGCTGGTCTAGTGGTGATGAGCTCCTTCAACTTTTGCTTATCTGGAAAATTTTATTTCTCCTTAAATTCTGAAGGACAGCTTTTCCAGGTAGAGTATTCCTGGTTGGCAGGTGGTTTTTTTTTTTTCTTTCAGCACATTGAATATATTGTACCACCCTCTTCTGGCCTGCCAAGTTTCTACCTAAAAATTTGCTGATAGTCTTATGGGGGTTCCCTTGTACATAACAAGTTGTTTTTCTCTTGCTCCTTTTAAGATTTTCTCCTTTAACTTTTGACAATTTAATTATAATGTCTCTTTGGATTCTTCTTCTTTTGGAACTCTGGGATTCCTGGATTTATTGCCAGGTAGTCTGTTTCTTTCCCCCGGTTAGGGAAGTTTTCATCCATTATTTCTTCAAATAAGCTTTCTGCCCCTTTCTCTCTCTCTTCTTCTGACACCCCTATAAATGTGAATATTGCTCTGCTTGATGTTGTCCCATAAGTCCCTTAAACTCTATTCACTCTTTCTTATTCTTTTTTCTTTTAGCTGGTCTGATTGAATGAACTCCAGTACACTGCTTCTAGTTCCCTGATTCTTTCACGTCATCTAGTCTGCTGTTGAACCCCTTTATTGAATTTTTCAGCTCAGTTATTGTATCCTTCACCTCTGTGATTTCTGTTTAGTACTTTCTTATATTTTCTTTTTGTTGAATTCTCACTTTGTTCATGTATTGTTTTCCCTGACCTCTGTGAGCATCTTTATGACATTATTTGAGCTCTTTATCAGGTAAAAATTATTTATCTTAATTTCATTAAGGTCTTTTCCTGGGGTTTTATCTAATTCTTTCACTTGGAATATATTCCTCTCTTTCTTCATTTTTCTTGACCCTCTATGTTGGTTTCTATGCATTAGATACAATAGCCAGTCTTGAAGGAGTGGCCTCATGTAAGAGATGAACCTTATTATTCAACCCTGCCGTGGCTCTTGGTTGTCTCTCAAACCTTTGTCAATGTCCAGCCTACTTTGTTCTTAGTGGTTCCCAGTAGTTGTGGGTATACCAAGACCTGTCAGTGTCCCAAAGAGAAGGATCTCAGCACCTAGATGCAGGCTGGTTGGAAGCTGGACACTCAGGCAGTAACTTTTAAAGTACACCCGTATACCTCTTTCAGGGGAAGACTGAGAGATGGGCACTCTGTCTGCTCCCTCTGCACTGAGCCCTAGGGAGATAGCAAGTTAAGAACTATTTCTTTGTTTGCTACCATGCAATTGAGCCCATGAACACAAGCCGTGCTGCTCACCAGAGCCAGATATCAAGGGATGTGTCCTCTGAGCAGCAGCCACAAAAGCTGGAGCACCAGATGTTTGCACAACCTCCATTCATAGAAACACTGGTGACCCAGGGCAGGGCAAAGGGAGAGTGTAGAGATGGCACCCACTGGCCTCCCCAGTCTCTGGAGAGGATTGCAGTTGGCCCCTAGATGTTGGTAAATTATAAGCCTGACCCTCAGGCTGCAGTTAAGATCTATAAATAGGCCTCTTTCACTTACAGACTGGGCATTTCAGTCTCCTGCCTCTGCCCTGTGCCCTGGTGGCATAGCTTAAGATCTGTTACTCTGTTTATTAGAGTCCTATGGGACCCAGGAACATAAGCCTTGTTGGCCAGCAGAGCCAGGCAATCAAGAGGTATGTCCCCTGGGCAGTAGCTGCAAAAGCTGGGGTGCCAGACGTGTGTATAAGCTCCTTTCCAGGAGATACCTGCTAGTGAGGCAGAAGGAGAGCATGAAGATGGGATGGTGCCCACTAGCCTCCCTGGTCTCTGGAGAGGATTACAGTTGGCATCTAGATGTGTACTAAATTAAAAGCCTGCCCCCTCAGGCCAAAGCTTTTAAGATAAGCAAATAGGCTTCTTTAATGAAAAGACTGGGCACTTTAGTCTGCTGCCTCTGTACTGGGCCCTGGGGGTATATCCATGGTAAGTCCATGAGAGCCCATTAAGAACTATCTCTTAGTTCACTACAGCCTTATGGGTCTCTTGGACCCAAACCCCACTGGCTTTCAGAGCTAGATGTTATGGGGGCCCATCTCTCAGGTGGAAGTCTTAAAAGTTGGTGTGCTAGATATAGGGGCCAAGCCCTTTGCTCCTCAGGGAGAATCCAGGAGTTGTGAGTTCCCTCCTCGTTGCGTGTCGCCCTGCCGGGAGTGGGTTTTATAGCAAGGTTGTGATCAGCCTCTCACACCCATTTCAGTGTGTCTTCTTGTTCACTCGATGCGTAGGAGTCGCTCAGCTAGTTTCTGGATTTCTTTCAGAGGGATTGTTGTTCAATTTGTAGCTGTAGATTCAGTGTGTCAGTGAAACGAGGTGAGTGGAGGAGGCTGCTTTGTTGCCGCGAACTCTCCAGTAGAGTTTTATAGGTAATTATTCAGAGTTTTTCTATTTTGGGGATCTGAAACACAGTAAATAGCATCCCCAGATGCTTTGAGGCACAGCCCTGCGCCCTCCTTCCCAGCCCTGACCTAACAGTCTGCTTGTTTGTGGTTCTAGAGAAATAACTGTGTGCTGCCTGAGGATCTGAAAAGCTTTTACCTGATGACCAATGGCTTCCACATGACATGGAACGTGAAGCTGGGTGGTGAGTCAGCCTCCTTGCTGTAGAGGAACATTTCCCTGGCTGAGAGGTTAGATGAGACAACTCTGAGGGCCTTTACAACTTATGAGTCTTTGAATCTGGACAGTTTTTGTGGGTTCTTCTAATGTGCAGTGTCCAGAAGCTGTGATTATCTCCCAAAGCTAACACATGCCATCATTGCTTCACCCACTGCCTCCCCAGCCCCCGTGCCAGGGTCTACCCAGTACTTAACTGGAAGCTCAATTTAGAGGCTTCTTGTTGGCATGAGGTGGAGGGAAAGATTAGTCACTACACAAAAATCCTGAGCCACCTTGAACTTAAAGCCTCTGAGGATTCCACCTTGGAGCAGTCTCCTCAGGATGAGCTGCAGTGACAGCCTCTGGTGGTCATAAGAGGGGCTCCTTCCTTCATTCCCAGCATGGTGGAGACCTCAGGGCTCCGAGGTCTGGACCTCTGACCCTCAGACCAGAGCCTTTCCTTCTCTGCCTCACATCTCCTCAGCCTGAGTCATCAACCACCTTAGTTCACAGGCTATCATCCTTGGTATTAAATACGTCCAGGATAAACATTTCTATCATGAATGTGGGAAATCACACCTTGGTGTATGTCAGAGATTCAGGTACTATGCAGGCATGAAAGTCAGTGCTGCGCATTTAGGTGAAGACTCTAGTAACATTCCATAGACTAGGAAATCCAGATCTAGCCCCTGGAGTCCAGCTCATTCCTGACACAGACTGCCCTGTCCTCAAGAGGACTTTATTATCTCCAAACTGCAACCACATCCCCAGATCTACTTTGGTCCTTGGGAATCAGCCTGTACCTCTCCTTGCTGCCACTAAGAATGCAGTCACTTCTGTGACACATCAAATCTGCAGAACTGACTCCTCCCCTTCATTGCCGCTACCTCCTAGGTTCCCTTGTTTTGGTGACTCCCCAAACCTTCCTGTTTTTCTCGCAGCTGACCAGGGGCATATTTTATAGCTTACTACTAAGCATTTAACATGAACTTTTAGCTTAGAATCATTTCCTCCAATGGTCTAGAAACCATTGTTGTCACCAATATCAGAAACCCTCATGGCCATGGCCTTTGGAGTCTGGAGCAACAGAGAGAGTGGACAGAGGCTAGAGTGACTGTCACATTTTCCCTTGCCTACATCATGGAGACAGGCTAGCCCCTTCAGAAGCCTGCATCAGAAAAGAAACATTTCATGAAGGTTTTATGAATGACTCCCTATTCATTATTAATACTTTTTTTAATGTAATCCTCCCAACCCATCTTCTTATCCTTATCCCCATTGCTGTACCCATTCTTTACTGGATGGCTAAAATCATTATCAGAAAGGCCAGCAAAGGCAGCTTCCAATGTTTACCTCCTTAGTGGTCTTTTCTTGGACATTCCATGGTCTGTACACCAGCTGTTTTATTGCCTTAAGTTATTCCAGTTTTTTAGCAGTCATATGTCCAAGTCTTTGTGTGCCATCCCATGTCCAGCACCCTATATTATAAGGATTCTGGATGATAGATAAGGAAAATACATAGTCTGCCTATTTCTTGTTTATACCTGAATTACAGAAGACTGAACCAAGCAAGAAGGCTTTCAAGACAGTTTGCTCCGTTGAGTAAGAAAAAATGATAAGTAGAGGGGGAGATAGTTTCCATAGTGAAAGCTTATGACAAGAAGGGTAGAAGCAGTCAGTTATATAATCAAAGCTGTTACTCCTTTGGAAAGTATAACCCTTCATTCAAGGGATGGCAGGAGCAAAAACATTTTTTAAGTCCTTTGATCTTCAAACTAGGGCCCCTACCCTAGAATTCCCAGTTCTTTTTGAGAATCCCCTTTTAAAATTTCCTTTGGTGCTCCACCCTAACACATGCAGTGGGGACTTTTCACTCATGGCCCCAGCTGTTTGCTTTTTTTTTTTTTTTTTTGCATAAAAGGCTGGTGCTTTGGAGCATGTAGTGCATTGATTCTCTCCTTTCCACTTTCAATTCCTCAGCCCTGGGATCAGATAATAGCTGGGCTTAAGTTAGTCAAGCAGAAGCCCTTCTGATGACCATGGTAACTAGCTTATTACTCCATGTAATTCTTTTTGTTAACATTCCCATAGAACATACCATTCCATTGGGCAGCATGGCAATTAACAGCATCTCAAAACTGACTCAACTCAACCAGTCTTCCCTGTACTCACTTCCTAACGCACCAACTCTTGCAGACCTGGAGGACGATACACAAGAAGGTAACTGGAGGGACTTCTGCTTTGAGTTAGAAATTAGCCTGCTTGTTTCCATTTTATAATGTTGAAAATAATAGGAAGAAATTGTGGCATTGTTACATGTTCCCCTAAACCCAACCCTTCCCATTTATGGCTTCTCTGAACCATGGGCGTAAGGTAAAAAAAACAAAACAAAACAAAACACAGCCTGTATCAAAAAAGGAAATTTTCATGAAGAAAATGCCAGAGTTGGGATCTTTGTTTCCAGCACCCACTTCAGTCCCTGGCACATAGTAGGCAGTTAATGAATACCTGGTAAGTGAATGAATGTTACAGATTAAACTTCACTCCACATTTCAGTATTGAGAGGTTTCAGGGACCGTGACAGTCTAAATGCAGCTCCCTTCCTCCCTTCAGGCTCTTTGCCACTTCTGATTGAAATGGCTTATAATTCAAATGGCTGCTAAAGCTATGATCAACTATGTATAAGTGAGGACTTCAGTCAGAACTGTGTTTGGCTGCGTATAACAGACCCGCATTACAATGTTTAAATAGGAGTTTATTTTTCTCATAATAAGAAATCTGGAACTAGGCTGGTGTAGCTGCTTGAGAAACTCAATGATAAAGTCTCCCTCTGGATTCCTGGCGCACCAGCCTTTGTGTTTGTTTGGTTTTCCTCCTCATGTTTGAAGAATGTGGGCTCTACCTCCAAGCTTCAAGTCTATGTTCCAGGCAGGAAAAAGAAGAGTAAAGGGCAAAATAACTGTCTCTTGGCAGAATAGTTTCCTTTTTGTCAGAAAAATAATAGTTTTTCCAGAAGCCCCTCCCAATAACCATTCGCCAGAATAGAGTCAAAAGGTTACCCATAGTACAAGGGAATTTGAGGAGATAAGTATTTTTAGCTGTGTAGTATTGCCTCATCAAACAGAACTGGAGTTTTAAAAAGGGAGAATGAATATTCAGTAGGCAACTAGTGTCTCCAATACTAATGCCTTGGAGTGCATTGAAATTCTGACAGAGAGAACTGATGCAAGGCTTTCTCCTTCAACTGGACAAGCAGCTGGACAATAGGAGGAGTCGTCCAAGAGCTGAGCCTGGAAAGTGTTGGGCCCTGGGAAGAGTTTGTCACTTAGAAATGTGTGGAATCCTCAAGGATGGGGAAAAGGTCACATTTGCTTCATATGTGTATACTGGGGCTCTCTAACCCCTAAAAGGCAAAGGAGTTGTTAAATAAGTAGAATGGGTGTACCCTGCTTTTGAAGCTGGTAGATAAAGGTAGACTAGATGATAGGATTTCAAGGGACCTCAGCAAAGGACAGCTAGGGGTAGAGACCACACTGTCCTACATACTGATGGGGATAAAAACCACGTGGGCTTCTGTCACCTTCTGAGTTCATGCTTTTTAGGATAGTCCAACAATTAGACCTAAGTTTCATTAACTTAACTAGAAAAATGCTGACTTTTCTCAGGGGACTCAGCAGTTAGAAAGAGGACAATCAGGAAGCAATATCAGAATACACAACCAGAGAAATAACACTGCTAGAGGACACAGATGAAAACCTAAATAAAAACAAGAACACTTAAGGGCATTTAAGACAGCACAAAGACTTCCTATAGAAAAAAAGTAAAAATTCTTGATTAAACAACTGACTAGATGAATTGAAGACAAGTATAAATATTGAGACCTGAGTTAGTAGCCTGAAAAAGCAAGTGCAAGAAATATCTAAAAGGACAGATAAATAAATTTTAAAAGGAGAAATGAGTGAAAAGGTGGAGGGTGAGAGAAATAGAAAATACATCCAGGTGACCTTCCATTGGAATTATAGGTGCTCAAAAAGAGAAAAAAAGCTGGAAAGGGAATAATAAATAAACAGTAATAAACAAAAACTTCTATTCAATCTGCAGATTGAAAGGGCTCTCCTAGACTCAAATTGAATTCAGGAGAAAACAGACACCTAGGCATTACATGATGCAGAATCTCAGGTTATTAGAAGAATATTAAAGGATGTGTAAAACTTTAAGAACATAAATACTCCAACCAAAAGACAGATGAAATGGAATGGAGATCTCAAGATGCAGATATATAAAGAGGAAAGGAAACAAGAGATTAGTGAACCTCCCTATGAAAGAGAAAGACTTAATTAAATCTTAATATCCAGGAATGTATACAACTTTTACATAAGAACTCTTGGAAAAAAGGGGACATAGTGCATAGAATATGTTTAAACATATACTCTCAGCTAAACCTAACAGAAAGGAGAGAGGCAAGATATAAGAGCTTTATGCGTTAAATTGTGTCCCTTCCCCCCAGAAATATTCATATGTTGAAGTCCTAACCTCACTCCCTCAGACTGTGACCTTATTTGGAAATAGGGACATTATAGATGTAAGTAGGTAAGGTGAGGTCATACTGGAGTTGGGTGGAGCCCTAATCCAATATGACTGACAACCTTTTAAAGGGGGAAATTTGGAGATACAGATATAAAAGAAAGCCATGTGAAGATGAAGACAGAGATGGGGTGGTACTTCTACATACCAAGGAAAGCTAAAAGTTGCAAGCAAACCACCAGGAGCTAGGGGAGAGGCATAGAACAGACTTTTCTCCACAGCCCTCAAAAGGAACCAACCTTGACCTTGGATCTGTGGCCTCCAGAAGCGTGAGATAACAAATTTCTGCTATTCAAGCCATTCAGTTTGTGGTACTTTGCTACAGTAGCCCTAGCAACTAATACAAGGAATGTTCCAGAGACTCCTTTTAAAAGAAAATGTAGGACAAAGAGGAAAGGAAGTAGAAAGTGGAAGCCCTCATCCTACTCTAGGAAAGAAATAGTATGCCTTGTTGGGGGAAACAGAGTGTCTTGGTGTATTGGTTTTCTATTCACGTATAACAGATTACCAAAAATTTAATGGCTTGAAACACGACAAATTTATTATCTAACAGTTTTCGTGAGTCAAAAATTCAGCTACAGATTAGTAGAGTCTTCTGCTTAGGATCTTATCAGGCTAGAAACAAGGTGTCAGCTGGTGCTGTGATCTCATCTGAGGCATAGGGGCCTCTTCCAAGCTCACTGGTGGTTGACCTTATTCAGTTTCTTGCAGTTGTGGGACTAAGTCCTTGTTTTCTTGTTGCCTGTTGGCCAGGGCTCACTCTTGGCTCGTTTAGGCTGCCCTCAGATTCTAGCCACAAGACCCTCTCACAATATGGCCACTTGCTTCTCAGCCAGCAGGAATATTTCTCTCCAGTCTGCTACAGCAGAGTCTCATGATGTTACCTAATCAAGGGAATGACTACTCCATCATATTGTAGGTCCTGACCACACTCAGGGGAGGAGGTTGTACAGGTGAGTATACACACAAGCATGAGTCTTGCAGCCATCTTAGAATTCTGCATACCACATTTGGTTAGAGAAACAATGGCATATTGTTTTCAAGTAAGGGTAGAATCATATGGATCCAGTCATGCAAATACATAAAAAAAGGAAGATAGGGCTTCCCTGGTGGCACAGTGGTTGAGGGTCCGCCTGCCAATGCAGGGACGCGGGTTCGTGCCCTGGTCCGGGAGGATCCCACGTGCCGTGGAGCGGCTGGGCCCGTGAGCCATGGCTGCTGAGCCTGCGCGTCCGGAGCCTGTGCTCCGCAACGGCAGAGGCCACAGCAGTGAGAGGCCCGCGTACAGCAAAAAAAAAAAAAAAAGGAAGATAACCATTAAAGGAATAAAAAATTACTTTAGAATCTCTAGCCTAATAAAGGAATGTTGAATCACATGAGTAAAAATAAGAAAAAGGGGAAAGAAACAACATTATAAAATAAGCAACAAAACATTAAGAGGAATAAAATAAAACAGATAAATCATTATGTTAAGTGTGCTGGGATTGAATTTCCCTTTTGAAAAGCAGAAACTATCAGATTGATATAAAAAGCAAAGCTCATCTCTATGTTATTTTCAGAAGCATACTTAAACTGATGAAGAGGCCTCCTGGTAATGGCAGATAGGTAATTCAGAGCAGTCTTCCTGCTGAAGACAACTGAAAAGTCAGGGAACATATAAAAATCATCAAATAAGAGCTAATAAGATGGTGAGATAGCACCAGATCAACATCCAGAAGAAGACAGAAATCCAGGGAAGAGGCTCAATGTTTAGGGTTGCTTTTGCCTAGGATACGTTGTCCTTTTCAAAAGAGGCAATGAGGCTACTGAAAAGCTGAGAATTTGACCCATATGTGAGACTAGAAGAATAAAATGGAGTCTAGAACCTACAAAAGATGGCACCCATAAAAACGACCCTACCCTTTTGGTTAGCACCAGGAGGAGCTATATATACTCTAGGAGATAGAATGAACCAGAAATAACCACTCTTCACATGGACCAAAGCCCAAGTATAAGTCACCTGTGCATCCCAGAAAATGTTAAATCCCAAAATTGGACTAATTTGATTCCAGATTACTAATCTCCCCAGGGGCCTGGCAGAAAAAAACAGAAATTCACTCCAGAGAAATGTACTAAAATTGACTGTTTATGGTTGCACAGCTCTAAATATACTAAAAACCATTAACTTGTACACTTTAAGTGAATGGTATGGTAGGTGAATTATATCTCAGTATAAAACTCATATAAAAGTAAAATTCTTCCCTAGAGGAAGAAAACATTATCCTAGACCTCATTGTTTTTATAAATAATTTTTCAAAAATAATCCTACTTAAAAAGAACCAGGCACATGAAGAAACACAACACCATGAACGAGAACCAGCACAAATAACAGGTAACAGAAAGATATCCACTGTTATTCCTGAGGGTGAAATTATTAGGCACAGACTGTAGGACAGTGTGCTAATGTGCACATGGAGATAAAACCAAACTAAAAATTCAGTGAAGAACTAATAACAGTGACATTGTAGATTTGACCTTATGATTCTGGCCATATGGCATACTACCTTTTACCAGATCAGGACTTGTGCAGATAATACTCTAAACTCTGGGGAAACTTTTAAAATAATTACCTAAAAGGACTGGAGGGTAACCAAAAATAAGCAGAAACTGGAGTGGCATCTACAAATGGCACAAGGGAACCACACTGAATGATTTTCCTATTTTTATAACTTTTCACCTGAGGGCAGACCCCAGTCAGCATCAGTCAAGGCTGCTAAAACTTGGTGGGAGCCTACAGTCTGGACTTTTGATTTCATCCAAGATGGAATAGTAGAGGCCAGATTTATCTTCCCACCTGGAACAACAAAAATACCAAAAACAGACAAAATACATAAAACAATGGATGTTGTCAAGATACTGACCATCATACAGGGAAGAATGATGAGCTCTGAATGATGGGAAGCAAATGAGGTGAACCCTAGCTTATTATCTGAAAGTTTCCAGTCGACAGCATAGAGAAGGGAACCCAAGGAGAACCTGTTGTACCTGTTGAGAAGACATAACTAAGAGCCCAGCTGGATGAGGACAGGTAGAGTTCACAGGACTGAGTAACAGAGAGGAATGAGCTGCATAGAGAGAGAACTGCAGAGATCTGCAGAGTGTCCTCAAGTATTCAAGAAAGAACTGATGAGCACACACATGTGAAGATCCTACCCAAGGCCAGGGACAAAACCACCCAAGAAGATTAGAGGGAACAATGCCTGGTACTCACACTGAACCAGGAATAGTGTCCATTTCTACCGTCCAGGTTGAAACACCTCATGGCTTACATAGAATTAGGTAGAGTACTCAGAAGGGTCTTGCCTCAGTAATGGGGAAAAAATTAGCCCTAGGTTAAATGCTGCCTTGGGTTCTGCCTGTCAAATACTAAGCACAAGACCTGAAAGTATCTGTTTTCGAGTAATTTAACTGTGTCACAGAACAAAGTTCAACAATATTTATAGAAATATAAAAATAGCAAGCACTCAACAATGCAAAATTAACAATTTCTGGCATCCAATCAAAGATTACCAGGTATGCAAAAAAGCAGGAAAAAAATGACCATAATGAGGAGAAAAATTAATTGAAACCAATCCAGAATTGAGGTACAGTTTAGAATTAGCAGATACAGACTTTAAAACAGTCATTACTATATTCTATATGTCCAAAAACTTAGTACAGACATGGAAGATAGGAAAAAACAAATCCAAACTCAACCTTTAGAGATGAAACTAGTTTCTGAGATGAAAAATACACTGGATGGGACTAACAATAGTTTAGATATTGCCAAAGAAAAGACTGGAGAAATTAAAGACATAACAGTAGACAATCCAAAATAACACAGAAAGAAAATAAAAAATTATTTTAATCAAAATAGCATCAGTGAACTGAGGGACAACAAATGGTATAATGTATGTATAATTGGAGTCCCTGAAAAGAGGGGGATGGACCAGGAAATACTATTTGAAGAAATAGTGGCTCAAAACTGTACCAGTTACTTGGAAACTTAAACCATATCTAAGAAGCTTAACAAGCCAGGAACAAGAAACATGAAGAAACAATACTAGGAAACATAATCAAATTGCTCAAAATCAGGGATAAAGAGAAAATCTTAAAAGCAGTCAATGGAAAAAGACAATTCCATACAAAGGCGCAAAGATAAGGATAATAGCATATTTCTCGTTGGAAACAATTCAATCAAGATAAAATAGGGAAGGGGGAGGGATAAATTGGGAGATTGGGATTGACATATACATACTACTATATATCAAATAGATAACTAATAAGGACCTACTGTATAGCACAGGAAACTCTACTCAATACTCTGTAATGACCTATATAGGAAAAGAATCTAAAAAAGAGTGGATATATGTATAACTGATTCACTTTGCTGTACACCTGAAACTAACACAACATTGTAAATCAACTATCCTCCAATAAAAAGAAAGAAAGAAACAATCAGAGGAAAATCATGCTGTTAGACCGGAATAAAAAATAAATACATTAAAAATTTAAAAATAAAATATTCTTTAAGCAAATTCATTTGATTAAAAAACAGTTAAAATACTCAAAGGAAAAAATTGTCAACCTAGAATTCTATACCCCATGAAAATATCTTTCAGAAACAAAGGCCTTTTCAAAAAGCAGTCTGGCAATGTCCATTCTATAATACTTCAGGGTGTCTAGCCATATAACAAAAGCACCAGAACAAAGGGACAGGTACAGAGATGACTACTGTAGCATTTGTAGCAGAATAATATTGGCCCCCTATCAATAGGTGGCTCACAGGATAAATTAGGGTGCATCCACTCCCACAGACTGTCAGGCAGCCATTAAAAAGAATGCATTAGAGTTACAACCCTTAGAGGGCTTTCCACGTTGTATTATTGTATAGAAAGTAAGATTCAGGTAACATGTGTGGTATCCCATTTTTATATAGTAAATGATCTCACAAAATTTAAATGTATACCTATATGTCTGCCTAGGACCATATGAGATGAAGAATATGAAGGTATAACCGCCAGGGGAGGGTAAAACCATGTTAAAGAAAGAAACAAAAAAAACACAAAAAGCCTTCTTATTTAGAAATGTAAATATTTATGCATTTATGTAAAATTATATGTATGGCTATACGTGTAAATCAAAAATATTATTTTTATATACTCTGTTTTATCCAATCTCTCCTAGGTTTGTTAAACCCTTTCCACCCCAGTCACTAATGCTAATCATTATTGCATAATTGCTGTAATGAAAGAAGCAGGAGAGAAGGTTTCTGATGGTTGCATTTCTAAGAATTTATCTTTTTTTCTGTTACATCATGGTATTTCATTTCTAGGTAGGTATTTCTAACAGAGCCAGACTTAGCATTAATTATAATGTTATAATTATAATAGAAATAAACATAACATGCCACGAATGTACATTTTAGACAGAGGAAAAAGGATTCTAATCAAAAGATCATGAGTGCTATAAATGAGGGGAAACCATGTATCTGGGGAAAAAGAAAAAAGTTGTTCAGATTACTCTGAGTTACGTAGTCCCACTCCCAAGAAGTTCAGTTTGTTGTCCTCATGCCCCCTTCCCCAGATTCCATGACACTCTGTTGGTCGTAGGGGAGCCCAGACAGAGGCTTAGACCATGAATAAGACCCAGGACATTTAGAGTATAGAATACATTTGGTCCACATTTGAAAATAATAGTTAAGAATATGTTTGAGATAAGGCTTTTTTTCCCTCTGTTTTTTTTCATCCAAGCAAAGCTGGATGAATAAGTATGTTTGAGCTGAGTGTGTTTGAACATTACCATCAACTTCTGGGTTTGCAGCTAGTGAGAGCCAGCCAGAGAAGCCTCACTTTGATTCTCGCAGTGTAATATTTGAGCTGGATCCTTGCAACGGAAATGGGAAGGTTTGCCTTGTCTACAAAAGAGGGAAACCAGGTAAGAATCATGGCAGGCATGGTCCTGTAGCTTGGGAATGGCCTTGGCTGACCTTGCTCTCCAGCCATCACACAAAAGGCATGCTCTTCCCTGCCCTCCTGAGGTGCTGCTGGGTCTCTTGTAGATGCCAAGACCCAGAAAACCCCTTTGGTCCTCTCTGAGCATCCCCCTCCAGGCCAATTACTAGAGTCTTTTTAAGCTATTGTCATTTGTGTCACTTGTGAGTTACTGCAAAATAATAAGATTAGGATAATAAGTGAATAAATGCTAAAAGAAATAGTCATTCTGTTTATAACTCCTCCAGCAGGCTCATGCATTAGAAAAGCATCCAGGAAAAACATTGTCTTTCTTTTACACGTATTTATGTAGGCCAATTAACAGCAATAAAAATCTGAATTACTAGACCTCAAACTAAGATCCCAGATGGGAAATCAAGAGAAGAAGGCTCTGGCTTCTTAAGCAGTGGGCACCACCTGGCCCCCTAACAGCAGTTCAGTCCCTAGGAACCACAGAGTTGGACAATGTCCAGCCCTCTTCAAGTAGCTTTCTGCCTGCAAAGGGTGAGAAGACACACCAGGGTTTACCTCTGGGGGAAAGGAGAGATCATCTCCAGCTGGAGGAGTCTTTGTGAAGTAGCCTTTGAGCTGCATCTTTTTTTTTTTTTTTAATATTTATTTATTTATCTATTTGGTTGCACCGGGTCTTAGTTGCAGCATGTGGGGCCACAACTAAAGAGCTCGTGTGCCACAACTAAGGAGCCAGTGAGCCGCAACTAATGAGCTACATCTTGAAGTGTAGGTCTGAATGAGATATGGGGGGTGTGGGGTGTGGGGCAAAAGGGGGCATCCAAGCAAAGGGATATGGGTAAAAGCCATGCCGTGAGAGAATGCACCTGATTTGGGGGGAATGACAATTCCAGTTCATTGGCCACGTGGTTCATCTTGTGGATGAGGAGGAGATGACACCAGAAGCCCTGTGATTCCCTTTCATGTGGAGTTTTGAAAGCCAGGTGAAGGGGTTTGGACGTTACGTGGAAGTAGGTGGGGAGTCAAGGTTATTTAGCAGAAGTATGGCAGGATTCAAATGAAAATGTGACCACAAGCAGAAATGGAAGTGGAAGGTACTGGAGGATGGAGGCCACTTAGGGAGATGTTACAGCCATTAGATGTTACAGCCATTAGACAGGAGATGAAATAGGAGAGGCCTAGGAGATGAACTAGGAGTACTAAGAAAGGACGGTCAGAAGCAAGTGTGAGGCAGGAGCTGGTACAATATAGTGCCTGCTTCAGCTCAACCAGCACATCACACAGCCGCACAGGCAGGAGTCCCAGGAGAGGAAGCTGGTCTGGGCTCCTCCATGGTGGTTTCTCACAGCACTTCTAATTCCTGGCAGACCTGAGAAAGCCAGAACTGTTCAGAGTGCCTCTCCGTCAGGAAGGCTGAGACCACAGTATGTACCTGTTGGGGGAGGGGGAGTGTTGAGTCCACACAAGAAAGGAGTGCTGCTTAGATAGCCTGAATGCACAGGTGGCCAAAGCCCAGCAGATAGATCAGTCGACTGACTGATCAAGAATTTGTAAAAGAATATAAAGAAGCCAGTAACAGTGGCCACTGGAGAACAGAACTGGGAGGTTGAAGGGAAAAAAGGGAACTTTTACTTATAGTTTACATTCCTTCTACTATTGAAATTTGTTTTAGCCATGAGTAGATGTTGACTTTATAGATAAAAGGAAAAAAGTGTTAAGCCATCCCTTCCTTGATGTCCTTTGTCTGCTATTTCAGCATTAGCACAAGACACTGAGATCTGGTTCCTGGACAGAGCATTATACTGGCATTTTCTCACAGATACCTTTACTGCCTATTATCGCCTGCTTATCACCCACCTGGGCCTGCCCCAGTGGCAGTATGCTTTCACCAGCTATGGCATTAGCCCACAGGCCAAGGTAAGGGGGGACCACCTGTCATCTCAAACTGTAGAATGTATCAGAATCTTCTGAGGAAATGCTTACATTGCAGATTCCCAGCTTCCTCATCTGATGCAGGAGATCTGGGGTTGAGCCCAGGAGCGTGTATGTTCAATAAGCAAGGCAGGTGCTTCCAATTTAGCTGGACAACCTCACTTTATACTAATCTAGTTAAATGGTTCCCAAACTTGGCTGATCCTCAGAATCACCTGGGGAGTTTTTACTTCTAATGAAAAGGGGTTGGTGGTGGGGGGAGATTAGGTTTGACCATTCATTTTGGATAGGCAGAACATGCATACAGGAACAGTGAAAAATCAATCTCTTTATTCACTGGTTCTCCAGCTTCCCCATCCACTTCCCCACAGGGAGCCACTGTTAGTTTCTCTTGTGCCCTCACTCAGATACTTTATTGGATAGAAAGCATGCATGCATGCATGCATACAGTTTTTGGTTCCTTTTTTCTAAATCACAAGTGCGATATACTATTCACATTGTTCTGCACCTTCTTTTCACTTAACTCCGTGTTGGAGCTCATTCCCTATCAATATATAGAGAGCTCTCTTTTTCAATGATATAGAGTATTTCAAAGTATGGATGTGCCTCATTTATATTATATATCCAGACACCATTTTAAACATACAGATGTCAGGTAATGCTGATGTACTGCCTGGTTTGAGAACACCAGGTGTGTCTAGAAGAACTTTTGACTGGGTGGCAAAAAATGAGGGACTCGATGAATGTATTCATCGAGTGGACCTCACTCTCCTCAAATGTCACATGACAGTGACATACATCCAGGCAACATAGTGGGTGGTTGTGATCAATGAAAATAAATGTAGATGCCCTTTGCCCTCAGCTGCCCAGAAAGCCTGTAGGGAAGAGAGCAGGCAACTTCCCTCAGTAGAGGCCTGCTCTGGCCTCTGTGTGCTCCTTCCCTGTGGGAAGGATGCTACCAAGTCCACCTGATGGGCAGTGGCTGGTTTGGAGGCAGAACAATTAGAAGGACACTGTACCCTGATGATTTGGGACCTAGCATACCAGGCTCAGTGCACACTAGGTTAGAAGGAAGCGCATTTACTCAGATTCTTAGTCCTCATGTTTAAAGGTTATGAGACCCCATAAAGCAATGTGTGTCTTCCCTTTTACCTAAAGGAAGTGCTAATAGATTTTAGAGGCAGTTTTTCCTAAAGTCTTTTACTCTGCCTCATCTCCCCAGCTCTCTACCCCTGTATCTCCCCTGAAGAGCATAAACACATACTCTTCTCCTTTGAATTGTGACCCTCTCTCCTAATTCTGCCTTACAGCAATGGTTCAACATGTATAAACCCATCACCTACAACACAAACCTACTCACGGAAGAGACCGACTCCTTTGTGAACAAGCTGGATCCCAGCAAAGTGTTCAAGAGCAAGAACAAGACCTTAATCCCCAAAAAGAAAGGGCCTGTTCAGCCTGCAGGTGGCCAGAAAGGGCCTGCAGGTCCTCCTTCCACCTCTAAATCCTCCTCTGGCTCTGGAAACCCTGTCCGAAAATAAACGCTCCACCTCCAGCTCCCTGCCAGCCCCACAGCGACGATTTCCATGCACAGATGCCCCAGGCGTGGCCCAAGCCTCAGATTGTGTGTGGAACCATAGTCCTCTCCCCATCTGAGTGACAAAATCCTAGGCCTTTTTTACTGCCATTGGCTTGAGCCAGGACTTGGAAAGGCATACTCAGCTCTCCCCAAGAATCCTTCTCTCATACCCCTTACAGCAGGTTGTGCCACCTACTGATTCTGGAAGCTGTGGCGAATGTAAGGTGTTGTGTAAGTGACTAAGTAGATCTGTTAAGAGCTTTCTTCTCTTTTTACTCCAGCCCCCTACCCCTCAGCAGTAATTAGAGAAGTCCCCCATAGAAACCACTGGTTTTGACCTATGAAGCATTAGAACTATGCTGCTCAATTGGTAGCCACTTTTTAAAGCAGCTAAATTTAAGCCATGTTAAAAATTCAGTTCCTCAGTTATATTAGCCACAATGGGAGTATTCATGTGGCTAGTGGATTCTGTATTAGCACAGAGATGATCAAACGTTTCTATCATCACAGAAAGTTCTATTGGGCAGCACTGCATTAGAATACTTTTGCATTACCCTTCCTCAGCTCAGTTAATTTTTGTTAGAGAATATGGATACCTTAATTTGATGGGTTATAATGTTCCATGAAAAACCTTGAATATACATTTTTATGTTCTTTATATCCTTCACCACAAAGATCTTGTGTTGCTCATTTTCAGTTTCCTATAGTTTCTCATCTTCATCGGTTTCCTATAAAGCTTCTTGTTTCCAGTTTTGTGATGTGATGTTTGCACATTTGCCAAAATTATCTTTTTCACTTTTTTTTAAAAGAAGAAGAGGTGATTCTGCTGTACCATTAAAACCAAAACAAAATAAAATCTCCCAAGCATTGCTTTGCCAGGACTCTTCATGCAGAGTTTTGGTGAAATCAGTCACTGTTGACAAGAGCCTCCACCTGCTCTACCTACTCACAATTGCTCAACAACAAACAATTCACTGGGTAGCAGAAAAGAATAGAGAGGAACCAAGTTGTCAAGGATAATAGCTGAGGTTTAGTCTTCCAGAAACATTTTTCTGCCAAAACTCATCAAAGAGAGAACCAGCAGTGCCAGATAAGAGATTCCAGCATTTGGCTGCTTCCCCAAGTCAGGGTTAGAAGGGGATTGAGAAGTTGTGTCATCTTCCACTGTGGCAGGTGTCCTTCCTCTAGAGATCATGGAGCCCCTGAATTATTTCTTAAGTCCTGGTCCAGCTCTGGATTTCATAAATGAAGCAGCAGAGGAGCCACGAAACAGTGGCGGCCTTCAAATCAGTGACAATCAGGTGGAATCCCCAAAGGGCTGTAGACAGAAAGGGGTTCCAACAAGGAAAGATTTGAGACCTGCCTCAGGAGGAGCAGAGCACTCAAGAGCAGGAATGGCTACCCAATATATAGGACCCAGTGCAGAATGAAAATGTGGGGCCTTTTCTCCAAAACTCAGATAAACAGTACCATTAAAAGTACTGGACTTCCTTCGTGGCGCAGTGGTTGAGAGTTCGCCTGCCGATGCAGGGGACACGGGTTTGTGCCCCGGTCTGGGAAGATCCCACATGCCACAGAGTGGCTGGGCCCATGAGCCATGGCCGCTGAGCCTGCGCATCCGGAGCCTGTGCTCCGCAATGGGAGAGGCCACAACGAGAGGCCCGCGTACGGCAAAAAAAAAAAAAAAAGTACTAATACGGAGTAGCAATTCTCAGACAAAATAGACTTTAAAATAAAGACTATTACAAGAGACAAAGAAAGCCACTACATAATGATCAAGGGATAAATCCAAGAAGAAGATGATATAACAATTGTAAATATTTATGCACCCAATATAGGAGCAGCTCAATACACAAGGAAACTGCTAACAGCCATAAAAGGGGAAATCGACATTAACACAATAACAGGGGACTTTAAAACCCCACTTTCACCAACGGACAGATAATCCAAAATGAAAATATAAATAAGGAAACACAAGCTTTAAATGACACATTAAACAAGATGGATTTAATTGATATTTATAGGATAGTCCATCCAAAATCAACTGAATACACTTTCTTCTCAAGTTCTTGTGGAACATTCTCCAGGATAGATCATATCTTGGGTCACAAACGAAACCTTGGTAAATTTAAGAAAATTGAAATCATATCAAGTATCTTTCCTGACCACGATGCTATGAGACTAGATATCAATTATAGGAAAAAATCTGTAAAAAATACAAATACATGGAGGCTAAAAAATACACCACTAAATAACCAAGAGATCACTGAAGAAATCAAAGAGAAAATCAAAAAATACCGAGAAACAAATGACAATGAAAACACAATGACCCAAAACCTATGGAATGCAGCAAAAGCAGTTCTAAGAGGGAAGTTTATAGCAATACAATCCTCCCTCAAGAAACAAGAAAAATCTCAACCTACCTTACACTTAAAGCAGTTAGAGAAAGAAGAACAAGAAACCCCCAAAGTTAGCAGAAGGAAAGAAATCATAAAGATCAGATCAGAAATAAATGAAAAAGCAATGAAGGAAATGATAGCAAAGATCAATAAAACTAAAAGCTGGTTCTTTGAGAAGATAAACAAAATTGATAAACCATTAGCCAGACTCATCAAGAAAAAAAGGGAGAAGACTCAAATCAATAGAATTAGAAATGAAAAGGAGAAGTAACAACTGACACTGCAGAAATACAAAGGATCATAAGAGATTACTACAAGCAACTATATGCCAATAAAATGGACAACCTGGAAGAAATGGACAAATTCTTAGAAAAGCACAACCTTCCAAGACTGAACCAGGAAGAAATAGAAAATATAAAGAGACCGGTCACAAGCACTGAAACTGGAACTGTGATTAAAAATCTTCCAGCAAACAAAAGCCCAGGACCAGATGGCGTCACAGGCGAATTCTATCAAACATTTAGAGAGGAGCTAACACCTATCCTTTTCAAACTCTTCCAAAATATAGCAGAGGGAGGAACACTCCCAAACTCATTCTATGACGCTACCATCACCCTGGTACCAAAACCAGACAAAGATGTCACAACAAAAGAAAACTACAGGCCAATATCACTGATGAACATAGATGCAAAAATCCTCAACAAAATAAAGCAAACGGAATCCAACAGCGCATTAAAAGGATCATACACCATGATCAAGTGCAGTTTATCACAGAAATGCAAGGATTCTTCAGTATACACAAATTAATCAATGTGATAAACCGTATTAACAAATTGAAGGAGAAAAACCATCATCTCAATAGATGCAGAAAAAGCTTTTGACAAAATTCAACACCCATTTACGATAAAAAAAAAAAAAAAAAAAACCCTCCAGAAAGTAGGCATAGGCATAGAGGGAACTTACCTCAACATAATAAAGGCCATATATGACAAACCCAAAGCCAACATTGTTCTCAATGGTGAAAAACTGAAACCATTTCCTCTAAGATCAGGAACAAGACAAAGGTGCCCACACTCGCAACTATTATTCAACATAGTTTGGAAGTTTTAGCCACAGCAATCAGAGAAGAAAAATAAAAGGAATCCAACTCGGAAAAGAAGAAGTAAAGCTGTCACTGTTTGCAGATGACATGATACTATACATAGAGAATCCTAAAGATGCTACCAGAAAACTACTAGAGCTAATCAATGAATTTGGTAAAGTTGCAGGATACAAAATTAACGCACAGAAATCCCTTGCATTCCTATACACTAATGATGAAAAATCTGAAAGAGAAATTAAACATTCCCATTTACCATTGCAACAAAAAGAAAATACCTAGGAATAAACCTACCTAAGGAGACAAAATACCTGTATGCAGAAAACTATTAGGACACTGATGAAAGAAAGATGATACAAACAGATGGAGAGATATACCATGTTCTTGGATTGGAAGAATCAACATTGTGAAAATGACTCTACTACCCAAAGCAATCTACAGATTCAATGCAATCCCTATCAAACTACCAATGGCATTTTTCACATTTTCAGAACTAGAACAAAAAGTTGCACAATTTGTATGGAAAAACAAAAGAGCCCGAATAGCCAAAGCAATCTTGAGAAAGAAAAACAGAGCTGGAGGAATCAGGCTCCCAGACGTCACACTATATTACAAAGCTACAGTAATCAAGACAGTATGGTACTGGCCCAAAAACAGAAATATAGATCAATGGAACAGGATAGAAGCCCAGAGATAAACCCATGCACATATGGTCACCTTATCTTTGATAAAGGAGGCAAGAATATACGATGGAGGAAAGACAGCCTCTTCAATAAGTGATACTGGGAAAACTGGACAGCTACATGTAAAAGAGTGAAGTTAGAACACTCCCTAACACCCTACACAAAAATAAACTCAAAATGGATTAAAGACCTAAATGTAAGGCGAGACACTATAAAAGTCTTAGAGGAAAACATAGGTAGAACACTCTATGACATAAATCAACAGTAAGATCCTTTTTGACCCACCTCCTAGACAAATGGAAATAAAAACAAAAATAAACAATTGGGACCTAATGAAACTTACAAGCTTTTGCACAGCAAAGGAAACCATAAACAAGACGAAAAGACAGCACTCAGAATGGGAAAAAATATTTGCAAATGAAGCAACTGACAAAGGATTAATCTCCAAAATATACAAGCAGCTCATGCAGCTCAATATCCAAAAAGCAAACAACCCAATCAAAAATGGGCAGAAGACTTAAATTGACATTTCTCCAAAGAAGATATACAGATTGCCAACAAACACATGAAAGGATGCTCAACATCACTAATCGTTAGAGAAATGCAAATCAAAACTACAATGAGGTATCACCTCTCACCAGTCGGAATGGCCATCATCAAAAAAATCTAGAAACAGTAAATGCTGGAGAGGGTGTGGAGAAAAGGGAACCCTCTTGCACTGTTGGTGGGAATGTAAATGGATACAGCCACTATGGAGAACAGTATGGAGGTTCCTTAAAAACAAAATAGAACTACCATATGACCCACCAGTCCCACTACTGGGCATATACCCTGAGAAAACCATAATTCAAAAAGAGTCATGTACCACAGTGTTCATTGCAGCTCTGTTTACAATAGCCAGGACATGGAAGCAACCTGAGTGTCCATTAACAAATGAATGGATAAAGAGGATGTGGCACATATATACAATGGAATATTACTCAGCCATAAAAAGAAACGAAATTGAGTTATTTGTAGTGAAGTGGATGGACCTAGAGACTGTCGTACAGAGTGAAGTAAGTCAGAAAGAGAAAAATACCGTATGCTAACACATATATATTGGATCTAAAAAAAAAAAAAAATGTTCTGAAGAACCTAGGGGCAGGACAGGAATAAAGACGTACACATAGAGCATGGACTTGAGGACACAGGGAGGGGGAAGGGTAAGCTGGGACGAAGTGAGAGAGTGGCATTGACATATATACACTACCAAATGTAAAATAGATAGCTAGTGGGAAGCAGCTGCATAGCACAGGGAGATCAGCTCAGTGCTTTGTGACCATCTAGAGGGGTAGGATAGGGAGGGTGGGAGGGAGATGCAAGAGGGAGGAGATATGGGGATATATGTATATGTATAGCTGATTCACTTTGTTGTACAGCAGAAACTAACACACCATTGTAAAGCAATTATAGTCCAATAAAGATGTTAAAAAAAAAAGTACTAATTTGTTTTACCTTTCTTCTGTGGTCTCTCTCACAACTTGTTACAGTGTTTTATCTGTTTGCTACTTGATGCTGTTCTAGGAAAAATTAGAACTTTAAATTATTAGTGTTAATTTTATCATTGCTCTTTCTATTGTGCTATTCCAGTTTTTAGTGCAGCTATAGAGCATTTAACTCATGTACAGCATCACCAAAAATTACATAAT